GTCCGGTCGCAGTTGAGCAGCACTGGGACCTTACTGGAAGTGACCAGACGCTGGGGTCCTACGTCTGGTCATGCTTAAACTAACGCGTCCGGTCGTGAGTGGAACCTTACTAGAAGTGACCAGACGCTGGGGTCCTATGTACGGCCATACACTGTGTTGCGTCCGGTTGCAACTTAACCGTTGAGATCAGGGCGCTCAGTATTTGAAGCCAGGGATGAAGTGGCAGCCATCCGTTGACATGTTGGTAGGGTGCGTCCGATCGATCTGATCAGAGCGTCCGATCACCCCGAGCCATGCCCAGTGAAGGGGTACAACAACTCTATTTTTGTGGGGGCTGTAAATAGAAGGGGGTCTCGGCCATGGCTGGTGCTAAGCACCTTAGGGGACTTTGTGTCCATGCTTAGTAGTGCTTGGGAGCCCTCTAACTCACTCTAGCTTGATAGTGTTCATTCGATTGAGTGAGTGAGCGATTCTAGTACGATTGCATCATGAGGTTGCATTGAGTGGCACTAGGTGATCGAGTTGTAAACCGGTTGTGCTTGTTACTCTTGGAGGCTGCCACCTCCTAGACGGCTTGGTGGTGGTCTCCGTCGAAGCCCACAAGAAGCTTGTGCGGTGCTCCAAAGAAGAGCTTTGTGAGGGGCATTATGCTCGCCCTGTGGGAGCCGCGAAGAGCAACTCTAGTAAAGCAAGACGCGAAGGGTGACAAGTGGTCCGGCCGAGTCAAGTGCTAGAGCTTATGGTAAGCACTCCACGTGGGAGAGTGTGACTTGCAGGGTCACCACTAGCAAGAGGACCGGCGGCAACCTTGGAGCTTGTCTCAATGGGGACTAGCATGTTGGCAAGCACGTGAACCTCGAGAAAAAAATCAACGTGTCATCCTTGTATTCCCGTTGGTTTGCATCCTCGTTACACAAGCTTATAATTACTTTCATATACATTGTGCTTGTATAGTTGCTTTTGTAATTAGTTTGATTGTGTAGCTTGTTAGTTACCTTCTAACTTGTGTAGCATAGAAGTATCTCCCTTGCGTGGCTATTTTGGTTTGTGTAACCTTGTTAGTCACATTGCTTAGTTTGTGTAGCTAAGTATTTGCGCTCTCTAATTTGGCATTGGTTGCCTTATTATTGAGCATTGCTAGTGAGCTTAGGTGGCTTTGTGCTTTTGCTTACTAGCATGAGTAGGAGCTCCCTCATTGCTTGAAGTACTAGTGGCATAGGTTTGTGTGACCTTGCTTCTAGAATTGGTTAGGTGAGCTCTAGCTAGCCCGGTACCTTTGTTGCTTATTTAGGATCTTTGCAAGGTGCTAGAGAACATTGATAGAGGGGTGTAGTCTTGGCTAGACTGAATTGTTTTAATTCTGCATTTGTTTCGATTAGCCGACGCGATTAAGTTTAGAAACGACTATTCACCCCCCTCTAGTCACCATCTCGACCTTACACCCTCCCTCCCTCGTAGATCAACGACGAGGGCCCTGCACCAGCTCCCCTGTAGTGGATCCGGTGGTGAGGGCCTTATAGCAGCTCCCAGAGGCAGATCCGCCCTCCCCCTCCCTTCTCCTACGAGAGGGTGCCTGGATCCAGCGAGCGGCTATGACCGCGCGTAGATCCGGCAAGCTGCGGCCGCGGCGGCGAGTGGATGGGCTCGCCGGGCTTATCCATGGATTTTCTTTTTTTTATTCGATTAACCGAGGCGGGCAGGGCAACCGCCTCGGTTAAGGCCACGATTAACCCTGACCTTTCGTCCAAGGCAGTTGCAAAAACCACCTCGGTTAAGCATTTTTGCCCGCAAGCGGTAAAGTTTTGTGTAGTAGTGATTGGACCTTGTAACATGTCAAGATTCCTTAGAGACGTGAATATGGGTCCTTGGCCGCCCTTAGACTATACTCCCTCCGTTCCAAATTATAAGTCGCTTTGACATTTTTGGTACATCCATTTTGCTATGTATCTAGATATAATATATGTCTAGATGCATAACAAAATGAATGTACCAAAAAAGTCAAAACGACTTATAATTTGGAACGGAGGAAGTATATTCAGTATCCGTCACCCAAGCTAGGAATTAGGTTTTGCTTAGATTAATCTATCATTGAACAATTGTCGTTCATTGGTTTGTTACACTTGAAATTCAGTTGCTTAATCATTTATCTGCAATTATCACTTTACTTGAGTTGCGTTTTTTATCTCGTTCTTGCTTATGTTCTTTGATTCGGATGCAGGGCCGGTCCTAAGAATTCTAGGTCCTAGAGCTGAAATAAAATTAGGGGCCTTTATATAAAAGTTTAAATTGTATTTAATATGTATAGGATCAATAAATTTTTGAAGTGCATCTGAAAGCAATATATTCATATCCAAACACATTAACATAGGTCTTTCATTGACAGAGTGACACTAGCAAAAAAAATTCATGAGCACTCACATTGTTGCTATCCATGTTTATGAGAGCAGCAATGTGAGTGCTCATGACAATTTTTACAGTGACAACATGTAATATGCATATACTAGTATACTTGGAGAGGGGCCCTATGACTACAAGGCATAGAGCGGCTGCCCTGCTCGACCGCCCTCAGGGTCAGGCCTGATTGTAGGCAGGGATTAGCCTTTCTCTCGATATGGTCAATCGAACTGTGATACGGTTGATACTTGATAAGCAGAGAAGCCATGGTGCTAAGGTTGTAGAGTTCGTGTCTTTATGATATGAAGCTGAATCGATATGTCGTATCTCCACAAGATCAATAGTTATCTCCACCTAATGTAAGATCGGGACGTTCACACCAACCACCAGATTACTAAACCTTTGCTAGGTCTGTTTTTAGTATGTACCTTTTCATCGCAAGAAATCAAGTCTTTCGGAATCACTCCTTTCTTAGCAGCTACATGAATGATTCTTACTTTTATACTTTTTCTATTCTATGTTTATTTTTCATACTCTCATATTGAATTATTTTTATTTTTATTTTACATTTTGTTATCTGATTTACATCTTCGAATCTTCTTTTATTCCAAAGACAAAGATTCGGTAACATAAATGATGCCATTTATTTAATAATGGCATAGTGGTAGGTAATTTATAACATGTACATGGTATTTCAACTTTATTGTTATCTAAATAAAGTGGTAGTTTTTAGGCCTTGAGAGTCTGACATGAGGCTTGTTTTGTTGGCCAAATACTCTTAGTTTTTTAGAAAAAGAAAATTTCATCCCGACCTCTGCAAGAGGTTTGCACTCAACTAATTCAATATTACTATTCAGCCTTTTGCTGGATTTAGAGACCTCACAAATGAAAAAATGAATAAATTGGAGAGAAGTAAGCTAAGAAATAAGCCCAGTAGAAGACAATCACCCATCCTTAGTGAAAACCAGCATTTTCATAGTCTCCAACATTCGAAATGCCCGTATCACCATAGGACCATTTTCCTCTTTCTGTAGGATTGACCATGGAAGCGAGCTTTAATATTATAATTTAAACTTTTAGGTTTAGCTACCATTTCCACCTTTCCATAGCGGCTCTACTTGAACGGATCTTATCATTTAAAGTATTTTTATGTTTATTTTTCATACTCGCATTGAAATATGTTTATTTTTTCCATTACACTTGTGATATCAAAACACATTTTGAATTGCAACTTTGAATAATTTTTTTTTCCAAGATGAAGATTCAACCACTTAGACAATTGCAATTTTTTGCATAGTGATAGTTAATTTATCAGCATGTACAAGGGCACTTTAATTTTATCTTTTTTTAATTAACGTGGCAATTTCTAGGCCTCGAGAATAAACATGCATGTAGACTTTTTTTTGTTGGCCATATACTAAGATGATAATTAGATTAGTTAGCCATTAGTATTTTATCACCTAGCTAACCAATTAATCATTTTCTTAATCATGAATGCTTTATTTAATTGTCATAATATCAAATTTGACTGTAAAACAAGGTTTTAAATAGCAGGCTAAGCTATTTAGTGGCGGCCTTCTCAAAAAACTACCAAAAGATATAGCAGTATATAGCAATAGCAATTTGATTTAGCTGTTTTTACGAAAAATATTAAAATTTCTAACAAATTATGCGCTCGAACATGGAACTAAGAATGATTTATGAACACAAATACTTTAATATATGTCCGGCTCTATTCAATCATTCAATTAATTAAGGATACTTATAGCTGTAATCAATATTCATGTTCATTCAACATTCAACAAATAAAGAACTAAATAAATTCTGAATGGTTTCTTACGTCAATTATGAAGCAGATATCACAAACAATGAATCATAGATTGCAGTCCGTAAATGAAGAATGAATATTTTCCTCCAACAGGGTTTGCAGCGCTAAAAAAATTCGCGGCTAAGTTAAATAGTGGTGTTTAGCGGGGGGCCTACAACGTCCTTAGCTGCAATACCGAAACAATTGTCAATAGTTTACCGGTATGCCAAAAGAAGATATAAAAGCGCTATATCATCGAGCTATTTAAAACATGTTGCAAGAGCCAAAATAAATTTAAATTTAACTCATCCGGCTAAATAAATTGCCTAAACATGCTATCAGGGTTATATATAAACTATAGATGCCAAATTTGGTTGTGAACAGCAAGCTAACATCACGCAAAGCCCATCACTGAATTTCTATCTTCCGTAATCTGAGGCAACTCATTCTGTTAAAAGGTACATGAGCCTTTTGAAAGGAAGAAATCAGCGATCAGATTAAAAGTGGCACGACTGGCAATTGGCGGATCTTGTATGTTCTACAAGTTGGCTACTCTTGATGCAATTCTTCTCCTTGGTCTAGTGCTGGAAAGGCCGGAGGCCAGACCATCAAGAGCGGATGCACTTGTATTATCTCATCATTGTCCGGATCGCTCTGCTACACCTTCTCCACCCTTCGGCTCCGGAGATGCATGTGCACTACGGCGGCACTGCAATTCAGCTACAAGAATACGAACTCGGACAACCGACCACATCGACGTGCTCGACGTCTGTGGCTACGAGATGGCCGCAAGTCTCGCTCACAGAGATGGTACGGTGTCCCTGAGTACCCACTCGGCGCCGTGCTCATCCATCCTGCGGAGCCAGACGCTGAGCCGATCTCCCTTCACATGGAAGAGGTACAGCACAGAATTGTCTCCACGGCAGAGGACAAGGTTGCCGTAGTACTCGTACGCAACGCCTTCCGGGTACTCGACGACGAAGAGGCTTGCAGCGGCCAGGTCCATACAGATGATGTACCCCGCCACTGCCACCATGTAGAGCTTGCCGCCGGCGAGCAGAGTTAACTTGGGGATCCTGTCCGGCGGCCTGTCGAGCTTAGTCCAGGCGGAGAGGACGGTCCAGGCGCCGGACCGCAGGACAGATACCTGTGCGGAGACCCTCCGGCGGCCCCGTGTGTCGATGTCCACACGGTAACATGAAGCGTCATCGTGCTCGTCGTCTGGAAGGAGCATGGCGTGGGGGCCCATGGGCGGCGGCGGCGGCGGGAACTCGGTCACGCCTCGATCAGGGTACCGCAGCGGGTCGCTCACCCCGAATCTCCTGATGCCAAACACGGTCTCGGAGAAGTCGAAGAGGACGCGGCCGTTCCGGCAGTCCCAGACGTATGACGAGAACTCGGGGAAGGCGTCGAAAACTGAGCTGGCGTGACGGAGGGCAGCACTGAACTTCGGGTCCTAGGGCTCCGGCGCCGGCATCGAAACGAACTCCGGGCGTGGTACCCAGTCGCCGGTGACAAAGAAGCCGAGGAGGCGGGGCGGGCGGAGCCCGCAGAAGCGGCGAAGGAAGTCCCTGTGGGAGGCGTGGCGGAGCCAGCGCTTGGACACCAGAGCAGCGCGGACGAGGGAGGTGGGGGAGTCAAGGCGAATTAGGATCTCACCGAGCAGGTCGTCGTCGCCGAGCACCTTGGATGTGGCCATGGCGTCTTGCACCGTCGCCGAGGAAAGCTTCTTCGTCTTGGCTGCGCGTATCTGTCTCTTGTTTCGCGTGACACGGTTTCTTTCGATACCCGGGGGCCGGGGTGTTTTTTTTTTTTTTTGTCTTTTTACACTGGTCACGCCGCCTCTTTTGACGATAAAACGGAGGAAGGCGGTGACCACTGAATAGAACGTGTCAAAATTCGAATCTAACTTTTTTTGTCCAGTGAATTCTCGTCTGGATATGTGGGAGCAGCAGTTTTATGTTTTTTTTGTTGATTGATTTTTCTTGGCTATGCATTGGAACATTCACGTGGTTATTTGAGAAGATAAGAGGAATTGCCAGCCACTAGTACGAAATTGTCGTCTCTATCAAGTATATATGGATAATCGTTTCTCTCATATTTCGTTTGGCTGCATATGTAAATCTTCTTCTTTTTTCTTGAATAAGCAAAAGATTTACGTATCATTATATTAAGTAGAAGAGTTTAAATAAACATACCATGCTCTTCTAATGAGCGTCAAAAGAGGTCAACATAACACAGCCATAGCTGAACCATCCTAACAAAAGACCTCTTAATTCGATATTACATAAAAGGATACAACTAAAACCGACGCAGCGGTGCGACCTAGGAGGTGGCCTTGTGTCTTCACGGCTGCCGGGACGAACCCTTTCGAACAGCCGGTAAGAGCTCGTCTAGCGCTTCAGCTTCGGACGCAATCAGGTTGCCGTCGAAAGCTTGTTAAAGGCCTTCAGCTCCGACGTGGATGGCGCTGATGGACCCTTGGTGTAGCCCATATGCTCCATGATCAGCACCTCACGAGGTGGGTACTCGAGAGAGGCTCTGAGCCGCCAACCGTTTGCTCCGCCACGGCATCAGCGGCTTAGCAGGAGGCTGCTTTGGAGGCTCACGAATCAGCGGAGAGTCTCTCTTATGCGTCACTTCATTGAGGAAGCTGTCGAGGCGGTGTTTGGCGGAGTTGTCGATGTCCTTAGTCGGGTAGGTATCCACCGGCGGTGAACTGGGAGGGTCAACATCAACTGCCCACTGAATGGGGCGCGGGGGTGGTGTCCGCAGCTCATGGGAGACCTCCGCCGCTGGGTCCTCATCCTTCAGCTGGGGGGCCGCCACCGCCGAGGCCTCATCCTGTAGCTGGGGGGCGCCGAAGGTGACATCAGCCGCTCAAGGCAAGGCCACACGACAATCGACGCCGACGAGCGAGGCTACGAACTCCTCAACCATCGGGTTCTCCATGATGTTGTGATGTGTGGCGTCCGAGTACAACGTCAGCGTCAACGGATTGGGCTCGACAATACCCGTCTCGTTGGTCAGCTCAGCGTGCCCTGGCTGAGCTCCAGCAGCGACCGAGGTGAACGCCGGTGCCACCGACCGCCCAAGTAAATCTTCTTCGTAGCATGAATCCACGAGCACCATGTCGGGGTTAAATCTACTTGCTAATTTTAACATTAGGAAAGGACGTGGGCAGGTGGGGACGTGTGTGTTGGTTTGCTTAAAATAGTACAAAATTCCGATCAAAAGAAATAAAATAGTACAAAATTACAGATAAAAGAATAAAAGATGGCATATGCAAGAAGCCACGAGCACCATGGCGAGCACAAGATAAATAGATCAATTAATTAAGATATTAGCTAGGGCAGATTAAATTTGGCTACAAGATAGTCTTTCCAGCAAAGTCGCCAAAAAATATGTTAACACCGATTCGGGTCACACACCGGTAGGGGCAGATCACCCAGAGGCCGCACATGGCCTAGCACGGCGAGGCTGACCAGCAGGTCGACGACGCTAATCGATGCTCGTTCTTCGTCAGATAAACCCACGAACGTCTCCCTAGAAGACCCATTGGGGAGACACACGTGTTTTAGGATCGGCAAGGCCACATAGGATGCCGATATATCTCGTCGAAAGATGCGCCGGACAGCAAGGTGTTAGAAGAGATAGGGAAAAAGAGGGCATTTTTTGTATTTTAATGATTAGGTGTTGGATCCCTCAATCGGCTGTCATCCTTTATATTTATATAGGGCGGGGTCTCGTGCTCTGGCTCAAGACCGAATAAATTGATCTCAATTCTATTAGTCCACTGTATCGGCACCGTCCGACTCGTATAGAGCCACAACTTCATTCTTTCCATGTACGTCATCATATCTTTGCACGTATTTGTTGAAGGCCTGGTCTTGCACATAAAAAATAATTAATACATGACGGCCCGTCAATCTATTGATGGCATACACTCGACACAGCCAAGGTGCACAAAGCTGGCTGAACTCCGTGTATCACACGATTGATACCTCGCGCGCCAGACCAAATCTTTGTATATACCACACAAAATCTGGCCGGTACAGAAGCTCCATAAAAATTGCCGATATGCCAGGCATGTATTTGGCTAAATTAAACTAGCACTTAGTACTTATGCAAAATACATGACTTGAGCCACATTTGAGTGCGAATTGATAAAATAATGCTTGCATTTTTAATTAAAATCGGGGGTTTAATCTCGCAATCCCGAGTTAGGAGCTTAACAGAGGATCTCTAGGTTTAATTAGGATACCTAATAATCTTAAACATAGATTAGATCTCTTGGGATACCTTTATTAGCAAAGAAGGAAGCCATTAGGCTTTAGGTGCGAGGACCCATGCCTGCATAATGCAGGCGCTGATGCAATTAGCTAGGTTGGTGGAGTTGATCCTGTGGTCCTACCTGTCTCCTTCGTCCTCTTGGCAGTGGCTACTTCTCGGTTAGATCGGGTGCTGAGGGTTTTGGGTGACTAACCTCTCTCTATCGCGATGGCTAACAAGAGGCCAGGTTAGGGAGCTCTATTTTATAAGAGCTGTGTAACGGGGCACAACCAAGGTTCCGTTATTTGACTCGGATCAAATCGTACGTGGAGTCTTCCCCTGTGGACTCGGTCTTTCGACAGTTTCGTTAAGATCAAACCAATATTCTCCCCCTTAATTGAAAGTCGTCCATTATTCAATAGAAACAATACATCAAGTCATCCATTATTCGGTTATGTGATTTTACATAATCACAGACACTTACATTCACATGCGTCTGTGTTAACTTTGTATTCACAAACACATCCTTTGTACACACGTATGTGATAACAATGTATTAACAGACATGGCTGGTCTACCTGCATCTGTAATAATGTTGTATTCATAAACTCGGAATTTAGGACGCCTGTAACACCCTAAAATTTGCAACATTTTGAAAATAGGTGAATTGGATTTATTTGTGCATTAGTGTGAGCATGCAACATAGAAAAAATAATAAATTTTATCAAATTAAAATCAAATATAAGGTTTACCTATATGTCTATGCATTCATGCTGCTGCATATTATTTTTGAATTGTGTGGTTTGAAATCAAACTTCAAATTGATTTGAATTTGTAGTTCAAAATTTATTTGGAAAATTAGAAAAGAAAAAGAGAAATGATTTTTCTTTTCCCCCTTCTCTTCTTGGCCTGTTGGCCCAGCCACCCCTCTCCCGCTCTTGGGCCGCCCCACTCCCCTTGCTTCCTCGACAGCCCAGCAAAGCAAGCCGCAGCCAGCGCAGCTGCCCGCGCCCTCTCCCCTCTCGCCTGTCGTTGACGACCCGGGCTCGCGTGTCAGTCACGCCGTCGTCTCCTTCCTCTAGCTCATGTCCGAGCCGGCCACGACTTCGGCTGGGAGTCCGCGCTCGCCCCGACTCCACCCCGATATGCGTGCACCGTAAGGCCCCACCACCCTCATAAGTAGCAACCGCGCCCGCGCCGCCTTCTCATAGAAGCTGAGAGCTAGCCATTCACCTGTGAGCCCTAGCAGAGCCACAGGAGATCCACCGCTGAGGTCAGTTCGTTGTTCCGCTGCTCCTCCGCCGTCGCAACTTCCTTGGCGAGTTTCTACGGGTGGTAAGAGAGTTTCGGGTACCCTTCTTGGCCTCTCCCTCGCTTTCTACCGCCAGTGCCGCGTCGTCGATTTTTCTCCAGCGAGCTCGAGCCACCCCATCTAGCACTGCGTCACCCCCGAGCCGTCGCCACCACCCTAGTCCCCTCATCGTGTTTGCCTCGTTCTCCTCTTGCTCTCTGTTATTTTCCTGAGCCAAACGATGTCTGGAGCATCGACATCGATGAACTCTAGCGAGGTCTACCATTATCCGGCCATGGCACCGCTGCAGTCTAGCTCGCCGCTAGCCACTTCCCCCTTCCGATATAATTCCATCCGTCCGATCTGGATTGGATGATCCCAAATAGATCTTACCCCTTCGCCTGTCGTTTTGCAAAAAGGCCCTTATTATTATTTGGATATTAACCCGTCGTCCCTGCATTTACTCTAAAGAGCCCTTGTCTTTTCTTTAAATTGTACCCGCAGTCCAATGTGTAAATCCAGAATACGCCATCTTCTTTTAAAAGCGTAGTTTCTTTCGGTTTAGATCCAAAATACGTTTTCATCTATTTACAGTTTTGCCAATAATCTTGTTTTAGTCATAAAATCTTCGTTTTAACTCCGATTTGATCCGTTCAAGTTGCGTTAGGTTCGTAATTGAGTAATCTATATGTTCATACTACTGTTAAGTATGTTTTCAACTTTTAAAATTTGAAGTTAGATTTAATCTATTATTTTAATAAAGGAAATCTTGTTTAATACATAACTTCTTCATTTTAGCTTTGATTTTTGAGATCTTCGCGTCTGTGTGATCACAGCAAGACGTAGATTCGTTTTATAAACTTTTCATCTAGATTTTATGCTGTTGGTGTACTATTCTAATCTATAGCTTTTGTTTGCTATGCATGATTGCTTCTGGCTGCTTGTATGTTGCTGTGATTATCGAGTATAGTAATGGAGACGGGGATCCTGGTCTTCATTAAGTGGTAATCAGAGCTAAGGTATACCGTCAGGTTCACATTTATCCCCTAGTTTTGAGTGTTTCGCTTTCGTCCCATAGTCTAGTGCCATACTCGTTTTTTCTGTCCTAGAACCTTCCGCGCCATAGCCTTTGCATA